ACTTGAAGTCAGACTTCATTTCCATATCACTATTATCAATTTTGCAACGGTCATAGGAATTAACACCTTCAACTAACTTTCGTTTACATCGGAAACTGAAAATAACAGTCTGACATTTCGAAGGATTTAGTTTAAGAGCATTTTCCCACTCCTAATAGAGAGCTGTTCATCTTAGTACAGTGTAGCTGGCAGTTAACAGACATTGAAGTAGTTAGATCGTCCGCGTGTTTGAAAAAGTTCTTCTCGTATGCATTCGTACAATAAGTTCATCAAACAAAAATACAATTGGTAATGGACGACTTCCCCCTGACCTACAGTGTACTGCTTTCTCCCTGATAAATAAGAATGAAGCCATCTAACAATCCAATACTCAGTTTGAGTTTCAGCAAGCTTATCTAACAGAATATCTCTAGGTAGTGAGTCGAAAGCAGATGTGTACTCTAGGAAGGTGCAGCGAATTTAGCCCCATTGTCTATACTGGAGAAAATGTTGTGAAGCAAGACTGCAGCTGCATCTAAAGTACGTCTACTGTGTTTATAGGAGAACTGTTTGGGATCGTTAAAGGCTCTGAGTGAGGGTTAAAGATTAAGTAAGAGTAACTTTCCCTTAGTTCGTATATACCTCATTTGATTTGAAACAAAGGAAGCAGGTCTTATTAACGCTTGTAACACTAGAAAGTTTGGCATTTATGGGAGAATTTATGAAAGACTTGTTTAGTTTACACACACCAAATGAATAGGGAATACTGGAGGTAATTAGATGCATACAGGCGTAGGTTATTTAACATCTATAAAGTAGACATGCAAATACCGCAGTTTTTGATCACAGAAATGATGGATACTAGATAACATCCTATGATTCAACGGCATATTAAAATAAATAAAAATTGTTTCTTAGCTGATCGTCAAGTGAACAGTCTATTTGATGATGTCACTGCATATTAACAGATTAGTGAAGTAGATATCAAGCCTAAGTTACTACATTTACTTGTACTACATACTTGGCGTTTAACAGTATACAGACTTTCAACTGGCTAGATAAGGCGACTTTAGAGTATCAAACAGTACAGAATTATTATTCAACTTGCTAAATCCCACTTAGCTTTTACAATGTGCTATTGTGTAGAAACAGACACGAAATCCTACTAATGACTAAAGTAACATTCTCATAATACTACAGTGAATTTCCATCCCACTAACTAAGCTTAGCGTTTATTATTCCTAATTCACTTATTACAAAAGCACATTGTATAGCGAGGAATTGAAGAAGTCTACAGGAAGAAGTAATCAAGAGTATATTAAACATTTGATTAATTTACAAAAGAAAATTCTGATGAAGGGTAATAAAGTTAGTTTGACCGAATGATGTTTCCGCTGATTTCATATTCGACAACCTCCGTATACCTGGAAAAAATAAAGTACATGTTAGAACTAGCATAACATGAAGTTAACAAGAGATAATTCTACATATTAGCATACAATATGAATACAATCATTCTGTTAAAACTAAGTATTATCTCAGGGAGATAAATGTATTTGTAGTCTACAGCTGATATTTATGTTGACGCCGTATACATAAATATACATCATATGTTTTCCTGCATTTGAGGACTATATGCAAATTTCAAGGCAATCTCCGAAACATTCATACTATTGAGGCGTCATTCTCTCATCAAGCTTACTTGCAGATCAACTTCACACTAAACACTTTTACATGAAATGAAGTATTGCAAGTGTATAACTTAGAAGTTAATCCACAATCTCAGTAATGTCTAGTCCACAAGGTTTTGTGAATCCTACAGAAATCACATTTTCACATTTAGGAGACTATAGGCATCAAATATAAGCTGAACATGCCTCAACTCTAGACAGCTATGCACAGTGCTAACAACATAGTGAAACACTTCAACTATTGTAAAGTACACAGACCTGTTGTGTTGATGAGGATAATAATGTCATATAATGCAAACTAGAAAATTCAATCGTCATAGAGCATCTGTACTGCTTTGTCTAAATGGAAATCTCAGGAGAAATTCATCTCCACTATTGGTGATCAAAAATATTGTAGCATTAAGTATACAGTCAGTGGAAATTGTAAAAGAGAATAAATTCATATTAATGATAATAAAGCTGAATAGATTCAGTTCTAGTAACCACCTTCGTTTGTTATCCTATCAGTCAGCTTAGTACACAATGGCACAATATTATTATAGTTGAGATATTTTTGTACATTTAATTAACATAACCCATAGCACACTGCACCAACCAGTGCCAATATATATGAAATCCATTTAGAGATAACCTTTCAACTTACCATAATTCCTGTCCAACCACAGATAAAGTGAAAAGCACATCTAAATGACAACTTAGGTTCCCACCAACGATTCTGATAACATTTGCAGGTGATTTCCAAGTATTGAGAGAATTATTTTGTCAAAAAAGACTGTTCTTCACACGAAAATAGGCTGTACTGATATCCTGAGACATGAAGTCTTCATTGAATGATACTATGCCGAAAGATGCAGCTTCTACATGGAGTAAATGAGTGGTGTAAATGGCATTACCCTCTAACTATCCTATCTCCCTCATTACACCGACATTTTGATACATTCCATCTGAAACACTAATCATTGCAACCAATATGCTAAAAGTGTGTCGCAGTCAGATCACATGAGGCGGACACCAACATAACCAGCCAAAAAGTGGGAATTTCCCTCAATCTAGATAACATATAATACAATTTTATTAAAAATTATTGGCAAAAAAAATTCCAAACGTAACTTCTAGAGTACGTGACGAATAAGTCCAGCCGCCTTTTGGTTTTACGTTGTAGGCGTTGAGTAGCCACAACGTCTATGTACAATAATAAACGTGAAGAGGTACACGGAAATACGTGTACGCTGATTTAGTCAAATAATAATAATAATAATTTTTATTTCTGTAACAGAAACCAGCCATTTTTACAGGCATGAACATATGTACATTTATGAAAACTTATAGAATATATAATATGATTTGTTAATTTAGAAATAAGTTGAATACTGGTAAATGTGAGAGAAACATTTAAAATGAAGTGTACAAATAAGGAAATAGATATAGCGTCAAATCTAAACTGTGATTGAAAAAAAAATACATGTCAATTTCACGCGGGAACCATAAATGGTTGCGTTAGTTGAGGAAGGTAAGTGGCATTTCTGTACAGGTGCTGACGTATTACATAAGAGATGCAGAATAAACAATAACTATCAGTAAATCATTCAGAAAGAGCTTTAAAGTCTATTAAACTTTAAATTTACCCGTAAGTACATCATATTTGTGACATTTCCAGTTGTTTATGAGACCCACTTTGAACTTGTCAGCAGATTTTATAATACCAATGATCCCGTTATTCACCAGATGAGCTAGCAATATCACGAATAAGTAGAGAAAGCAGTATGTTTGAAAAGAGAAGAAGACACAAGAAAACCAGCAGACAGGTGCAGATCTGCACCTTCAGTATTTAAAAGGTGTTAATAATTCAAAATATATAACAGGCATGGGGTTTATCGTTTTTTATTGTTTTTTTTTCAGGAAATATTATTTTCCCGATATTTTACAGTCTCTTCTGCGAACAATTAGTTTAAAGTGAAAGACAGGTGATAATTTCACCTACTTACGAGGTTTAAAAGGAGTAAAACACAAAAGTCAGAGTGCGTGAGCTATGTAAAAGAAAAGCGAGGGCCTAGTAATGTATGTTTTTCTGAAGTATACAGTTCGGTGTCCTTCTGAAGTAGCGGACTCATACCATTTACTTTCATTCGGGAGTTTGCGTCTAAACTTCGGCTCTAGGCAATTTTCAACTAATATTTCTTTTTTCATTATTTTTTTTATATTTTTAGTTTTTGTTTATTCTCATTTTGAAGAAGCCATCCGAACTCAGGAGCCATAGCAATAGAGTGCTGTCCCACAGATAAGGGTGGTTCACATATGTCCCCACCATCATATCCGCTGACTAGCAGTCACCACCCTCCCACCTTTTTTGTGCAAGGCCCTGTCGGAATGCTTCATTTTTTTTAAATTATTTATTTATTTTTTTTAAATTTCTGTTGCAAAATGCCACAAACTTTTTGTTTGTCCAGCTATTTATTCGTCGACTTACTCAAACTTATGGTATGAATGACTACTTTCAGAAGAACATCATGTATGTTTCATCTTTTACAGCATTTTGAAGACGAAAAATGTAAGAAAGAAAGGCTATCTGAGACTTCATTTTAGATATAAACAAATGTAGTTTAGAAAATCGGGGAACAATCGTGCAGCATTGAGGAAATAAGCAGTGATAAGTTATAATATGTTGTTCTAGAAAATTTGAACATACAGGATTATAGTAATAGAATAGTAAGATAAGATTCATTTTAGATATAAACAAATGTAGTTTAGAAAATCAGGGAATAATCGTGCAGCATTGAGCAAATAAGCAGTGATAAGTTATAATATGTTGTTCTAGAAAATTTGAACATACAGGATTATAGTAATAGAATAGTAAGATAAGATTCATTTTAGATATAAACAAATGTAGTTTAGAAAATCAGGGAATAATCGTGCAGCATTGAGCAAATAAGCAGTGGTAAGTTATAATATGTTGTTCTAGAAAATTTGAACATACAGGATTATAGTAATAGAATAGTAAGATAAGATTCATTTTAGATATAAACAAATGTAGTTTAGAAAATCAGGGAATAATCGTGCAGCATTGAGCAAATAAGCAGTGATAAGTTATAATATGTTGTTCTAGAAAATTTGAACATACAGGATTATAGTAATAGAATAGTAAGATAAGATTCATTTTAGATATAAACAAATGTAGTTTAGAAAATCAGGGAATAATCGTGCAGCATTGAGCAAATAACCAGTGATAAGTTATAATATGTTGTTCAAGAAAAGTTGAACAGAGAAGATTATAGTTATAGAATAATAGGATAAGAAAATTCACCGTTTATTTGAATATTTAGACAACTACCATTTTGGCCTTAATTTGCGTAGAGCTAGACGTATAGCACTAGGCAGGCTCTGGAGATATTTTAATACCAGTCGTCTTCAGTTGATTTGCATCTGGAATTTGAGATTGAACCTTAGCATACTGAAATACTCATAATACAATATTATCAGGGATATATGCAAAAATATTTGAAGGAAATTAAAAAAAAGTTTAAAACTTAAGGCTGATTAAGAATAGGTGTCTAGGGTTGTGAAAGCAATCATAGTGAAAGTGACTGTCACACATAGGGTTTACAGATTTCAGGAGCTAACAGTGAGGATCAGAGGAGTGCCGTATTAGATCTCTAATTTTTAGTTTGTCACATACCCCTTCTAACCCGTTGTTAATGAAATATTTGTTCAGCAAAGATGAGAAAGTTTTTGGGGTAGGACTGTCTCTAATTTCAGTTGGAAGACGGTTCCAAATGCAACGGTATCTCACAGTGAAAGAGTTTGATCTGTATTTTGTATGACAGCGGGGAACTTTAAAAGAAGAAGATTTATTTCTCAGGTTATATTTCTTAGGTGAACTGAAAGTAAAGTCATTGTGGGGGAAATATATAAGCCCTTTGGCAATCCTAAATGTAATTTTTAGGTTGAACTTCAGTCGTCTAACCCATAAGGGTTCCAAGTCGAATAGATTACATCTGTCATAGTAAGAGATGCAAAGATTATCACCTACTAGACGTTTAGTAAACGCCCTTTGTAGACTTTCTAATTTGCATCTGTCTTTTACGGAGACACTGTCCATGATAGGGGGACAAAATTCAAGTAAGGGCCTTACGCACAACTTGTACAGCATTATTTTGGATTCACTGGTCTTAAAGTTTCGGAATAAAAATCCAAAGAGCCTTTTGACCTTTGATACTTGTAATTTAACGTATTCAGCCAGGCTAAATTCTGGAGTGTATTTCAGACCCAAGTCTGTTGTAAGCGGCAGACGAGGAATATGTTTGTTGTGTAGGGAGATGGAAAGTTCAGATGAAATGCTTTTGGAGCATAGCACACCACATTTTTCAACGTTAAACTTCATTTTCCATGTGTTACACCATAATTGGACGCTCTCAATATCATCTTGAATCCTACTAAATACACATGACACTTCATTTCTGAGTGAGTGATACACTATTTTGATGTCATCGGCGAATAGGAAAGGTCTGCCATGTTTAATAACGTCGCAGATGTCATTGAAATATAACAGGAATAGCAGTGGACCTAGGACACTACCTTGTATAACTCCACTTGTTATCCGAACGGGGTTGGATGTGTGGGAACCTAACCTGACCATCTGCATCCGGTTGCTTAGAAACTAACTGAGCCAGCTTAACAATGAACCCTGTATCCCATAGGACTGGACTTTTGATATTAACAGTCGGTGGCTTACAGTGTCAAAGGCTTTACTAAGATCTAAGTATACGACAACTGTGATCATACTGGAATCTTTAAGTTGTGAGATGTGGTCGAAAAATTGTAAGTGGCATGTCGTACAAGAACGTGACTTCATGAAACCGTGTTGATAAGGAGTGATAAGTTTCTCTTGAGAGAGGAAGTCAAAAATGGCACTTTTCACGATCTTTTCCAGAACCCTTGAAATAACAGAAGTTAGGTTAATGGGTCTGTAACTCATGACACTTGAACGGGAGCCTGACTTATACCTAGGGGTAATGTGCGTGGTTTTCCATGCATCTGGATATGTTCCAGTTGATAGAGAGGTAGAGAACAATTTAAGAAGGAGAATAGGAATGTCTTCACCACCGTATTTTAAAAAAGTTGAGGGAATCATATCAGGACCTGGGTTGTTTGAACTTTTAAGAGAAGTGATTGCTTTCTTAATATTATCTAAAGAAAAGCTGATAATTTCTAAGGTTTTTTGTGAACGTACAGGGAATAGAGGTTGTGGCAACGTATTATCATCATAGGTATATGACTGTGAGAAATGGGAGTTTAGAAGCTCACAAATTATTTTAGAGTCACTAGTGGTTTCGCCATTTTCTAAAATGAATTGTATATCCGTTTTACGGGAGTTTAGCCTTTTGCGATAAAGCCTACAGATTGCAGTGTATTTAGAGCTATCTTTAAGAGCTGCATGTTCTTGTCTGAGTAGGGCTTTGTCGTTATTTTCTTTCAAAGCTAGATAAATGTTCTGTATATTTAGAAGGCATGAGAAGTCGTTTTCTCTGTGGTACTGTCGGTACAGCTTTCGCAGCTTAGCCTTTACTTTTATAGGAATGAAATTCTTTATGTTTTCTCTTGGGTTTTCTTTACATTTAGGAACGAGATTATCAAAGCAAATAGATACATTCTGGTAAAAGGCTAGTAGGACAGTGTCTAGGTTGCTATTAGAAAAGAAAAGATCCCAGTCTAAGCTTCTAATGAAGGAGTTAGATACGTCCCACCTAGCTTTTCCGAAGCACATGAATGTCTTGCGCAGGGTAGAGCGTTTTGATGAGTGAAGCTTGGTATCAAGGGCGCAGATTACTGTGTTGTGGTCACTACCAGGGAATGGTCGGCTGATGTCTATGGTAGATAAGGCGATGTCTTTCAAGAAAACCAAGTCCAGTATATTTTGGTTTCGGGTGGGCCTTAGAATACTTTGTGTCCACCCACATAAATCAACTGCATCTAAGAATTTGCTGTAGCGGGGAGGAGCACTGATGGGCTCCCATGAAACTTCTGGCATATTGAAATCACCTCCAATCACTTTATAAGTAAAGTTCAATTTCGAAGTGTAATGGAAGGCTGCAGTTATCTGGCTTAGCAGTTCACTGTCGTGGTTGGGTGGGCGATAAATGCAACCTAATAATAGGGTTTGCTGTTTATTTATGTAGAGTGTCACCCATAATGTATCACATATATCCAGGTTGGGGTCATCATAGTGCACAGCTCTGCAGTCAGATTTAACATAGATAATGCATCCTCCACCCCTCCCAACTGATCTGTTCTTCCTGAAAAATGAGTAACCTTCGCAGTGAAAGAAATCATCATTTATTTCACTTGTGCACCAAGCTTCAGTGATCATTAGTGCTGTAGGTTGGCTAATCAGTAGTAGGGATTGGACGTACGCCATTTTGTTTACAGCTGACCTGGCATTAATAAGGACTATGTTAGGATTAACCGAGTCATATCTTAAGATTTTAGCCATGTCTTGAAGTAGCTGGTGATGAGATTCAATCATAGTGTCCTCAGACGACAATGAAATATCTATGTCTGTAGATGCCCTAGGAAAGCTAGAAGTCCAGAGAGGGTCAGTTGTATTTCCGAGTTCAAGTAAGTTCGGATGTAAAGAAGATTGGCTATCAGAAGAAAAGGATATAGAGGGTTTTTGACGAAGAAGAGAATTGTCTGAGTCATGTAAAGTGAGCTCTAGGCAGTAATTAGGCATTGCTGTATGAGCTGTCATATCTATATTGGGGGGCGAAACCTGTGGAGAGTGGTGAGCATTTGTAGTATGTTTGAGGTCATGTTGTGAACCTGAATAAAAAATGGTAATGTCGTTTCAGCGAAATTGCTGATCGTTGGATGGTCAGTCCCGTTGAGTATGGGCATGTAAATAGGTGGAGGTGGCCTACCAAGCAAGCTAAACTGACTCGAATTTTTGCGATTTACTTCACCACTATTCGACGTCCTATAGTTAGGTGTATCAATCTTTCGGTTTAAAGTGGTGGGAGGGTTTACTTTTTTGGACAAGTAGCTACGAGGTTCGGGCTGCGTTTTACGGTTTATAACCCTTTCGGCTTTGTGAGTATTTGGTTCTGGAGAGAGGTGTGTTATCAAACTGTGAGTATCTGAATTAGTGTGTGGCAATAGTCTCTTATTATGCACTGTCTTTGTGGACGAACTGGTAGCCCCACTTTTCAACTTCCTGGAATTGAGGCTGCTTGGATTGGGGAATACTGGGTGTGATGTACCGCAGTTTGTCACCGGGGTACAGGGATCGTTATCAGAGGAGTCTAGATCCACGGTGGATTTCCTTCTTAGTCTGTGGTTATACATCGATCCATTTTTGGATCTTATATTTCCACGGAAGTTCGTTTCCGAATACGATGTGCTTTGTACAGAAAGGTTCACACCCTTTTGCTCTGCCTCTACGGAATTGTGGGTGCTCAGGGGTGTTGTAGAGGATTTGGGATTCACAGTTTTAGCATCGGTCATATAAGTCATTCTTTGGATCGGCGTTTTGTCACGAGCTAACTTGATCGTGTGGTAACGCGTATTTTTTAGTAGGGTTTGCCTACTGTAAAAGATGTCAGCATTGGAGGACGAGTCAAATTTCAACACAAGTGGGCAAGATTTGTTCTTCTGAGACTTTTTTAGTCGATGGCAGCTGCATGGGACGTTATTCATAGAGCATGCATTTAAAAGAGTGTTTTTGACCTTGTTGATCTGTGCATTATCCGGTATATTATACACAATTATGTTCTTCTCGCGCACTACACGTTGATATACTTCAGTTGCAACGTAGTTTATAAGGTTTGCAGTTTGTGGTAACTTTCTAGGTGAAGTACTACTACTGCCAGTTTCACTAGGCAGTGCCAGTTTTGACATCTTAACTTCAAGCCCCCTAATTATAGAAAATAGTTCTTCGAATTTATCTTCACAACTAAGTGTAGAACAAAAAACTGGATTAGTGATGGGAGTAAGAATGTTTGCTGTGTGATTCTTATCGCAAGACGCTTTGCAGGTGTCTACGAGGCCTAGATCATTACATGTAGTATCACTGTGTATACCATCCATGATGTTGTTTACTACGCAAGCAAGTGAGGGGAGTTTAATGTCCGGACTTGACGTGTCTACCGCAGCAGACGTATATGTAGTTGTTAAATCAACAGATGTAGTGCTCTCACTTCCTGCAGGGCTACTTATTCTGTTTGGTTTGATTTTTTTACTGGGATGTGAAGCAGACAGTGGAGTTAGACGCTTAGTTTGGACCATTGGCATTTAGTACTAAGTTAAAATTCTTAATTATAAGAGAATGAGCAATGTGTCTGTAAGGTCCGTTTTAGAGTGTTGGGGATTTAAACTGTCTAGTTCTGTATGGAATTAACAGTTTAGACGAATAAAAATATTGAGATAGGATATTAAGATACCCTATAAAAATACTCTAAATGCGAAGATGCTATAACAGTAGCACTTAGATGGACACTATCTATAACGGATAATTTTAACCGTAAAATTTATATTCTATGTAAGAATAGAACTAAATATTTAATACTATCGTCGAGAGACCTATTAAAAAGTCGCCTGTGGACTAAAAAAAGAATTGAGAAATAACACGCGAAAAAGTAACAAAGCCTTTGAATTGCGCTCCGTGAATAATGCACGCAACATACTTCTGGCCACCGGGTACACTTTAAGCCTATTGGGGTCTTCCGAACACTTTACTGCCCTCCAACTATTGACTTTGGCAGCGTAAATAAGAGTTTGGCAGCTCGCACGGCATGATAAGCCATTGGTAAAAGTCGAAAGCATCATTGGCCATTAGATAGAGCCCTGTGCCACTCTTGATTTCGAGCTTCGCCGAGAAGGTCGGACTTGACTGACCTTATTCGGGAATTTCTTTTCGGCTAAGTAGTCTTTCAATCATGACGGAAGTAGCCTACCTATACCTGCCTTACTTATTCCGTGTAGGAGGCCATGGTAAACTTTGCCAAGTGCCTTCTCCAAGTCCAGAAATATCGCATGGATTATAATATTCATGTCCAGCCCTGATGTTCAATCTACCCTGAGCTGATATAAGGTTTGTTACACAGGATCTGCCTTTCCTGAAACCGCGTTGGGCGGTCCCGGATAATAATAATAATAATAATTTATTTTCATATAAACATAAATTTACATGAAAATGCATGCCATTTTTACAGGCACGATCAAGGATGATATAATGTCAAATCTTAAATTGTCGACAAGTTAATAATGTTTCAACAGTTAAATATTTGATATATATATAAATACACATTGTCTGAACTAGGCTGTATAGTTATTGAATTGTACAATTGTCCTCCAGGTTGAGCGGGAAAATCGACTTCGTTTCGTTTTCATCCCGTGGTTGTAGGCATACGATAATCAACCAATATTGAGGTAAGTA